GGGCTCCCTGCTCAGTGGGAAGCCTGCTTCTCCCTCTCCCACTCCCCCTGCTTGTGTTCCCTCTCTCACTGTCTCTCTCTGTCAAATAAATAAGTAAAATCTTTAAAAAAACAAAACTCTGAGCTTCAATTTCTTGAGCTTCAATTTCTTCATCTCTAAAATGGCAATAATAAAACATCTCATATTTGAGAGATAAAGTGGGATAGTACTTGAAAGATACATAGCATGGTGTCTGGGATATACTATGCAGTCAGTAAGTTTTACCTACTATTCTACTTAAATACATACCTACGGCTGCTAGCAGTTGACTCCAAGAATGGTTCCTCTCTTGGGGTGTTGTTCAAATAAAACTGCATATTCAATTCTGGACATTTATTTGTAGTCTATCAATAGAAAACAGTAGGCACCACGAAGTAAGAAAAATTAGAAGAAAAAAATCTGTTTGGCAAGTCTTTATCTCCAACTCTGATTTCTCCCAGAGTTCCAGTCTTCTGAGCTTCTCTTGTGCCTTCTCCATTTTAATAAACAGTACTGTTTACCCAGTTTAGTCCAAATTTACCCAATATATTCCAAAATCTAGGAGTTGCTCTTGATTCCTTCCTTTTCCTTAATCTCTCATATCTAGTCCAACAACAAGTTCTGTCATTCTGTCTCTAAAATGTCCATCTTCTTCTATGTCTACCACTATTATTTGTCAGCTCTATTACTATAATAGGCTTCTAATTTGGTCTCTCTCCTTTCATGCTCCTGTAGTCCATTCTCTACACAATAACCTGCGGTGATCTTTGAAAACAAAATTAGATCATGTTATTTGTCTGTTTAAAACGTTAAAACAGTGGCTTCCTGTCATGCTTATAACAAAATAAAAACTTCGTAGGCTCATAAAAGCTAACATGATCTACTTCTTGCTCTGACCACAACATTTCTTCTCTTCCTTGCCTTTTTCACATTTCTCTTCTAGCCGTCATTTTAGTGCTATCAGTAATGACCTTCCTCCACCTGGCTTTTCCTTGTCATTCAGTCCTCTCCTGCTGGAAGCCTTCCCTGACTATCTAAAGGACCTGTTCTCTACATTGATCTGCTGGTTTTAATTCTGTGCATAACACTTATGATCATTTGATGTTCTTACTGTTGGATTATTCATCCATATCCCCTCACTAGAATGTAAGGGCCGTTCATGTTCGTGATTGTAGCTGAATCTCTAGTGTCTTGAGCAGTCGAGTAGCTGCTCAATAAATATTTGTTGAGTTAATGAGTGAATAATTCCTAAAAGCTTGTTTGTAAGTACCATAGACCAGATCTGTAGTGAAATAAAAATAAGAAAAATCTATTCTATAGAAACTATACTTCGAAAGATTCCAGTAGTACTTTGGGAAGAGCTGTTCTTTATTTTGTGATGTCCTTCAAACATTTTTTTAAAAATATTTTATTTATTTGTTTATTTATTAGAGAGGCAAAGAGAGAGCGAGCGGGGAGAGGAGCAGGGAGAAGCCGACTCCATGCTGAGTGTGGAGCCCGACGTGGGGCTCGATCTCATGACCTGAGCTGAAATCAAGAGTTGGACACTTAATCAACTAAGCCACCCAGGAGCCCCTCCTTCATACATTTTTATGTTAAAATGCCCTTTCTTCATGAAATGGTAGTGATATTCAATTGTATAATTTAAAAATGTATTCTTGGCAGCATAAATAATTGGGTAGTGCTGTTACCCTGTACTTCAGACTAGAGGTTTTCTTTGAGTTTCAGAGATCTGTAGTTCACTGGAAATAAAGAAGCACTGTGTAGGTGTTCCCGGGAGGGAGTTGCTAAGAATTTTTACTAAATAAAGTTCAGTCAATCAAATGTTATTATATTCTTCAAATTCTCCTGGGAAACAAATGGTCAGGTTCCATTTAAAGATTATGTTGTTTGAATATGTAATGTTTAAGTGAAATGTGACATAAGAATCTACAGCTAATAATTAAGGGGAAATAAAAATAGTAGACCTTTTATATCTAATGTCTTTGGGGAAGAGTTAATACATTTAGCAATGTTTCTTAGAATAATCTTGTCCATAATGAAAGCTAACTAAAATTAACATTGATCAACTCTTTAAAGAAACAACGCAAGTTGTATTGAGACACAAGTGAACTTTTTTCTTTCGTTGGCCAATAAAAACTGAAATTTTAGGGCTTAAGATGTCACCTATAACAAACTCCCTTGTGTTTCAGGTAAGAAAACTGATGGCTAAAGGTTTTAATGTTCTTTGTTAGGTCCGGGATTAGAATTCCTATCTCCTTTTTCCCAGGTTCCTGAACCTTATGCTATGGCACACTACTTATTTTTAGGGAGATAAGAAATTTCTCTTTTTGGAGTAGGATATAGATGGTTTTAGAAGTATTATTTTATTAGCATCTTAATTTATAGGAAATGAGATGTATTTTTAAGTAATATGCAGGGAAGGCATTCCAAATTCAGTGTTGTGACAGCTGGCCTCTTAGGGGCTATGCAGAGCTCTTAAAGTGGTATTTATGCTTTTAATTTTTGTCAAGTTAAGATTTAAAATTAACCAAGAAAATCATAAAGACATTTTATTTTTGTTATTCCTGTTTTAAACAGTCTTTATACGTGAAAAGATGAGATGTGTAAAATAAGCCCAGTTCCTCCAAAAATAAAGTGTAGTTCTGATGGGTTGTGATTTAAAAAATACATTTAAAAAAAACAAAAGGAATAACTTTTGTATTTTTAAAATATTTCAGAAATATAATTAAAATTTAATAATATGAAAATTTTACATTAATAAAACCAATATATAGCAGAAAGTTTATAAGGTAGATCAATATGAAAAAGAAAGTAAAAATTACACATAATCTCACTTTCCAGAGAAACCCATAATGACATATTGGTATATTTCTTTCCCATCTTTTTTCTTTGCATAATGGCATGTATTTTTTTTTTTTTAACACAGTCAAGCTCATACTCTACATTCCTTTTGTTTATTTTTCTTCTTCATTTAACATATCATGAGTATTTTCCTACATCCTTAAAAGGTCTATGAAAACATTTTGTAATAGCTCCATAACATTCTTCTGCAATTTATTTAACCATTACCCTACTTTGGTTATTTAGAATATCATAAATTTTTTCTATTAATGCTGAAATGAATAAATGGGTGTACAAATCTTTGTTCACATTGTTCTATTTTAATTTATGATAGTTGCCTAAAAAAGGAATTGGTGGCACATACTGCCAAAAAGCTTTCTAGAAATGTATTAATTTATACTCCCACTAACAATGTATGAAAGTGCTTGTTTTATTGCAGCCTTAACTGCAAACTGGTTGTGTTTGAAGAGAACTTAGCTATCATTTTTGGGCTTGAAGCATTTGTTGAAAAAATGTAGTAGGGTGGGTCTGCGTATTTATTTAGGCTACCTGGAGGCACTTAGCTGTTTGGCGTTAGTTATCTATTTGCTTTTATAGTGGCTGACTAACCAAATTGTTAAATAAAATAAAATATTTACTTATCTACCCAAGAGCAAACTGTTCTGACCCACTTATCTTGATGCACCGATTTAAGCTATAAGGAGGTTAATGAAAGTTAGAAATTTCAGTTGGCTGCTTTTTCTCTGAAGTGAAAAGATTACATTTGAAATAAGTTACTTAAAAAATTGATCAAAAAAGTTTAAGTAGGGTGCCTGGGTGGCTCAGTCGGTTAAGCGTCTGCCTTCCGCTCAGATCACGATCCTGGGGTCCTGGGATGGAGCCCCGCATCGGGCTCCCTGCTCAAGCAGTGAGTCTGCTTCTCCCTCTCCACTCCCCCTGCTTGTGTTCCCTCTCTCGCTGTCTCTCTCTCTGTCAAATAAATAAATAAAATCTTAAAAAAAAAAAAGAAAACCGAAAGATACAGGTATATTGGAGAAAAGATAAACATCTCCAGGGACTAATACAGGGAGGAAACATGCAGTTAGACTCTGGGTTCAGGAGCTGGTGGAAATAACTGTGCAGGGGAACTGGAGTCATACAGTGGATGAAACTGGGAGCCGGGGTGGTGGTGGTGGGGTCGGGGGGGCCTGGATGAAAAGAAGGCTGAGTGCCTTTGCTCCTGGCTGTTGCTTTAAAAAGCTGTGGACCTGAAGAGGCAGCACAGAAACGGCTGAGCGGCCAGATGGCTC